GTGAAAATCTGCACATTTTTAGGCCTTACCAGCCTCTGTGTCTGCCAACTGTCTTTAAGCTGTGGGTTGTACAGCTTGAGAGAACTCTGCCCAGGCAGGGAGGTTATGAGAGTAGATTTTATTCAGTGGATTTTATCTGTACTCAACACCTATATTCAAGAATCCTAATTTATTGACCAGGTGGCCACCTCCATGAATAACTGGCCATATGTTTCTATATTTACAGATTACTCAATAACCCAAATTCAGTTCTATTTGCTCCCTGAAAAGCAATCTTGGGAATGTTTGATATTCCGGTGTCTCTACAGATAGTCCACAGAAGTGACTTCCTAAATACAATAAGAGGATGACAGTGTGTAGTCTTGGATGCAGTGAGAGAGGTCAACGTACGGATTAGTAGCAATAGCACTTTTTATTAAAAAAAAATACATAATAATTTCTATCTGCTACCTGCCAGAGTGGGACAAATTCTGAGGGTCAAATTGCGCCCCATCTTAAGTAGGAATTTTGGTAACCTAAAGTCCTACAAATATTTAAAAGATGTCCATTATGGTTACCAGGGGGGAAGGGGAGGGTAGCAGGATAAATTGGGAGTTCAGGATTTGCAAATACCAACTACTATATATAAAACAGATAAACAGCAAGGTTCTATTGTGTAGCACAGGGAACTATATTCAATATCTTGTAATAACTTGTAATGAAAAAATATGAAAAGGAATATACATATATGTATAACTGAAACACTATGCTGTACACTAGAAATTAACACAACATTGTAAACCAACTATACTTCAATTTAAAAGTAGATAATTACATAAAACATGTCCAATCATTAGCAAAGGTGAATAAATCAGTTTTTATATATTTATTTCAGTTTTGATAAGTCCTCTAGATGAATAACACTACATATTGAATCAGAGAGTCCTGAGCATTTACACTGAGTGACAATAGTCAGACAGAGAAAGACAAATAACATATGATCTCTGTGTGGAATCTAAAAAGATATATTAAAACAACAGTAACACTAACTAACCTCACAGAGACAGAGAACAGACTGGGGAAATGGCAGAAGCAGGAGGCGGGGGTGGAAGAAATGGGCGAATTATTTGTTTGTTTGTTTGTTTGTTTTAGTTTACATTAATTGAAAAAAAAAAGGTGAGAGAATTCATCATCAGAAGACCTGCACTACAAGAAATGTTAAAGGAAGTCTTCAGGCGGAAAGAAAATGATACCAGATGGAAATATAATGTACACAGGAATAAAGAGCACTGAGAATGGTGACTACTTGGATAAATACATAAATTAAAAAAAATTCTTACTATTTAAGTGCTTTAAAAGGTAACTGACTATTTAAGAAACAGACTTGCAGACATAATAAACAATCTTATGGTTACTGGGGAAAGGGGGTGGGAGGGGATAAACTTCGGAGTTTGAGATTTACAAAGTTAGCGACTATATATAAAAATAGATTTAAAAAAAAGTTTTTTCTGTACAGCGCAGGAAACTATGTTCAATATCTTGTAATAACCTTTGATGAAAAAGAATATGTATGTATATGCATGACTGGGACATTGTGCCGTACACTGGAAATTGACACATTGTAACTGACAGTACTTTAAAAAAAAGATAATTGTTTAAACAAACCAAAAAAAAACAATGTAGTCTGGGACTTATAACATACGTAAAAAAGTAAAATGTATAAGAACAGTAGCATCAAGACCAGGAAGAAAGAAATGGAAGTGCACTGCTAGAAGTTTCTATACTTTAAAGAGTCATATGATATCACTAGAAGATAGTGAGTGATACATTAAAGATTTATACTAAAACCCTAAAGCAACTGCTAAAATAACAAAATGGTTGTATAGCTAATGAGTCAACAAAGGAGATAAAATCAACTTAGATTTTTTAAAAAGATACTTAATTCAAAAGAAGGGAGAAAAACAAGAAAAAAGGGTAAAGAACATGAGATAAATAGAAAACAAACAGCTTAACCATATTACATGAAATATAAATGGTCTAAGCACTCAAATTAAAAGACAGAGACTGTCAGATTAAATACATGATACAAAACCCAAGTATATGCTGCCTTCAAGAAATACACTTTAAATGTACAGACAAGGACTGGCTTAAAAGTAAAAGAATGAGGAAATATATCCTATACTAACACTAGTCATAAGAAAGCTGGCGGATTGTATTAATATTGGACAAAGTCTATTTAAGGAAAAAAACAGTATGTAACTAGGAATAAAAAAGGAAATTCATAATAAAACAGTTAATCAAGAGGACATAACAATTCTAAATATTTACACTCCTAAAGACAAAACTGCAACACACATGAAGCAAAAATGGTTAGAACTGCCAAGAGATACAGGTAAATCCACAATTATGGTTAGAAGAATCATTACCCCTCTCTTGAGAAACAGAGACAGAGATAGAAAATCCCCAGGGTTCTTAACTCAGAGTCCAGTAGAACGAGTTTTCTTTATACACACTGAAGCAATCAAGAAGCATTTGATTGCTGGTCTGCTGCAATGATTTCCAGGTGCTACAGTAATCAGAGCCAGATGTGTGACTCAACGTTGGAAAGTAGCAATAGAGAAGTTAATAGCTTTGAAGTCAGGGAAATCTGAATTATCTCATTTACTGCATACATGACCTTGGGCAGGCTGGTTAACAGCTTAAAGCCTCAGTGTCCTCGTCTGTAACACTGTGGTAGTAACAGCACCGCTGGGCTCTGTTGTATAGTGCATCGCGTAGTGTTACATAACAACCAGAAAGCATCGACTACAACTCATGTTCATTCCTGACACACTCCCATCTGGTCTGACTGGACTCTCTCTCTTTATCTCTCCCTCTGCCCTTTGTTTTAGAAAATGAGCCTGTGTGATGCAACACTGTTCAGTGTGGACATCGCGGAATAGAGGTCTCTGAAAGTAACAGTCACTTTTTATGCAAAGAAATGCTGCCCTTTGTTCTGTCCCTGCAGCTGCCTCTGTTAGACTGTTCTAGTGTTTGACTTGGCTCAAGAAGGTTTCCCTTAGTGCCTGCCAGACAGGAAGGATTATCTGGGATTTTGTTCCAGCTTGCCAAAGTCATGCAAAGCAGAGGGGTCAAGTGGCCATGTACAAAATATTTAGTATCATGGCATGAAGCCATGTGGTGTAAAGAACATCTTTGCAGGAGCAGACCTAAGTCCTGATTGTAACTGTTAGAAAGAAGGACGTGACCCTTCCAAGCCTCAACTCTCTGGGTCTCAGTTTCCTTACCGAAAAATGACGGAATTTGATACACATAGCTACTTGGTTTCCCCAAATTCTGTGTTACTAGGAATGACTCTCCGGAAACAAAATGTTCAATCATTCATTTACGCCTTCATTTATTCACTAATTTAAATTCAGTCAGTGCCAGGAACTGTTCTAGACATTGGGGATTCCACAGGGGGTGGGTTTGGGGGTGGGCGGAGAGTATTTGCTTTTAAGAATTTCTAATTCCTTGGAGAAGAAGAATGATAAACTAAAAAGTATATAATATAATGGCAACTAGTAAAAAAACTTGAGGAAATATTGTTATCAAGAAGGCAATATATACATAATGGAAAAGCAACTGAAAGAACATATATGTATGTATGTATATGTATACGTGAATAGCTTTGCTCTACACCTGAAATTAATGTTGTAAATCGACTACACTTAATGAAAAACTAAGAAAAAAAAGAAGGTAACATATAAAAGATTGTTCAATCCAATCTATTAACCTAGTTCTTTATCCACAGTCATTCTAACACAAAAAGGAAAGATAACTATTTCTTGATCAAGTCAACTAGAATGATCTATCTCCCAGATGCATGGTTAAAAGCAGTATAAAAAGGTGGAAAATTTAGTGACAGCAAAATGAAAACTCTTACAGAAGGGGATACAGACATAAACAAACGAGAATGCTTGTCAGTGAACAAGAGAGGAAAAAATGAGAAATGCTACGTATTGAATTTTAAGTATATCTCAGGAGCCGTGTGTCTGTTTATTTATTTATTTTTACTTTTTTGGGGGGAGGAATTAGGTTTCTCTATTTAAAGTGGAGGTACTGGGGATTGAAACTAGACCCCTGTGCATGCTAAGCACATGCTCTACCTCTGAGCAATACCCTCCCCTCTATGTTAATTCTTATCACTACAATCCAAACATTTCTGTATTATTTTCCTCAGTTTAAAATAAAGAAACTAAGGCTCAAAGAGGAGGTTGCTTGGGTATCTTGCCGAAGGTCTGTGTGAGGGTCTGCCAGTAAGTTAAGTAAGTTAAAAATCAGTGTTCTCAAACAAGTTTCTACTGTATAGCATGGGGAACTATATTCAATACCTTGTAGCAACTTACGGTGAAAAAGAATATGAAAATGGATATATGTATGTTCCTATATGACTAAAGTATTGTGCTGTACACCAGAAATTGACACAACATGGTAAACTGATTATACTTCAATAAAAATATATCATAATAAAAAATCAGTGTTCTTTGCACAGCACCACCGAGAGTCCCACGCAACTCCTTTAGAAGCGTGGAAGGGTATGAGCTCCTCATTGTATAAGAACTTCGAAATTCTTGATGTGACGCTGTGATTTGACCAGCCACACACAGATCAAACAGTACAAGTAACTGTCTTGTGAAACTGTAGATTTCACACTGAGGATTAAACACGTTGTATTTTTCTCAAATCTGAAGACTAACCCGTTTTACATGAGAACAAAATCCCTCCAGGCTTTACTTACTAAAATGGACCGACTGATGGGTGAAAGGGGAGAAAGGAGGGAGGCAGGCCACATAAGTAAGGCAAGCTTACTGGATAGGGCCTCATTCATGCAAACAGACGGTTGATTACCACAGAGAACAGATATTATTCACAACACTTTCATGTTTCTGGTTTCACTGACAGCAGCTGATTCTGCCTGGTTGCAACCACAAAGCTTTCCATTGTTTTAATAATACTTCTACTTAAAGATGATGAGTGGATTTGATTCTTTTCTGCTTCCAGTTCTGAGCCTGATTCTTATTTTCATCTTCAGCATTAAAATCTTCATGACTAAAGCTTCCAAGAGACAATTTCCTCCAGGACCCAGACCTCTACCAATTACTGGAAATCTGCACCTCCTTAATCTGAAGAAGACATATGAAACCATGCTGGAGGTAAATAAATAAATAACTGTTCATTTCATACTTGTTTATAATTTCCTAAATCATTTTTACCCTTGTGGGTTTATTGGCACGTATGTATTTAAAACTGCTTCATATATGTACAATGGGATCATTAGGCAAGATTCAAAATTAATAGAGCTGCCTTAAATTGAATTTCAAACTTCTTTTAAATTTGCATGTATAAAATATTAGTACATACATTTTTATTATTTGAAGTGGTATTTTTATCCTAAAATATGTATGACTTGTGACCTTTATCTCGACATACTCAATCCACATATTTCAAGTATATCCTATTATGAAGGAACTGAGTTGTGATCTATCGTTTTACTCTATAGACTTTTGGTTAACTGCTCGAAACAGGTGTGTGCAAACGGCACAGTCAAGCACATGGCCCCAGAACTGAGACCCAGAATTTAGTTCTGAGCCTGTCATTAATTAGTGGTGTGAATTTACAGAAGAAGTGAAGTCTTGCTTCCGCTTCTGTAAAACTCCAGGGCCAGAAGTCCTAGACCCATTTTCTCCAGTTTCTACTTCAAAGAATTGATAGTTCTTGATTGTGGGGTAAGACAGAGGGAAAGCAGGAAGGAAGGAAACATATAGTTGGCATTTGGCCATAAATTTCAATGTTTAAGTTCTAAAGGGCAGGGAACTGAAACTGAGTTCTGCTGTAACTTCCCAGTTTGAAAATCCTAAGGGGAGATAAAAATGAAGAGATCAGTCCTTTACCTCAATGCGCAACGTAATAGTAATACTATTTTATGTTTGTACTGCAGTTTTTATTTCACAAAGCGCTGCAAAGATTCCATGTACTTCTCAAAACCACCCCAGGAGGAAAACAGAGAACAAGCATTATTCGCAACACTTTCAGGTTTTTGGTTTGCGCTGGAAGCTGCTGATTCTGCCAGGTTGCAATCACAAAGCTTTCTATTGTCTTATTTTACCTCGACTTTACATGAAGGTGTAACTCAAAGCAACTGACTTATTAGTAACTAGAAAACCAGGACTTGAGTTTTCTGATCTTCTGGTACTACTTTAGGGCTTTCTCGCCTACATTCAAAGGTCACATAACACAAAGGCTAATTCCTCAGAAGAACAATTGCTTCCAGTAAAGTCCTTCATCTAATTCCATATGCCCCAATCACATTTGTTTCTCCCAATATTTCTATTCTTTGCTTATATATTAACTAGCTTAATCTTTTCCCTATACAGTCTTCTTTTTTTTTTTTCTCTCATTTCCACCTCTGTATTATTGCTCTGTGCTAATTTCACCTAGGAAATGTCTTTTCCTTGCTTCTCCCTCACCTCCACCATTTTTTTCCTTAAAATTTACCTCTCTAATTTTTATTCTTTGCCTGAAACATGCCGTATCGTCTTAATACACAGTGGTTCTCATCTGAAAGACTCTCTCCTCACAGCCTATTTCAATTTTCACTTCCCTGTAAGAGTCATCTTATTACATATGATCATCCTGAACTGTCCAGCCTTTCTGCCATTTCTGCGGCAATTCTAATACTGGTTCCTAAAGTCAAGTGTCTTAAAGAAAGGAATGTTAGAAGTTCCCATCTCATTCTCTACCCGAACCTTAGTTGGGCTAAGACCACAGGTTCTGTCTCCAGCAGGTCTGAATCACATGGCCCTTGCTGAGCACTGCCACTTACTAGCCATGTGACTTCCTGGCCACAACACCTTGCCTGTGCAACAGAGGTGATGATAACACGACTTTGTTGGCTTGTAACGTGCACTGAAGGAGATATTGGTGCTGGGAATGAAGCGAGAGAGGCAATAAATGTTGGCTCTTGTTATTTAATTATCATAGAAAATGGAATGCTTTTTTTTTTGTAGTAAGAAGTGTCACACTTTAATGCAAAACTAATTGGGCCTAGGATATAGTCACAGCACCTCACGAAGCATGGGGCTCAAGCGTGGTGGTCAGTGTGGTAGTCAGGAAATGTTTTGTCTCCCTAGAGCCCGTGGTGGGCATTTACTGAGACCCAACAAAAATATGATAGGGAGACAAAATACATCAGTTTCATAATGTCAGAGTACCATTACTGTGAAATCCCAAACAAGTGGAGCCTATCCGAGGACACTCAATTCATGAGCGTAGTATTTACAGCTTGAACAGGTGTAGCAACCACAGGAGTACCTTATAAACTAGTCCTGTATTCTCATTTCATGAGTTCATAAAACTGGTTACTTTGTTAAAGTTAAATGACCAGAGCTCAAGATCCAGTGGACTTTCTATTACAGCACAATGCTTTAGTGGCTTCTCTTTTTCTTGTACACCTAAGCTCTCCCAGAAATATGGCTCCATTTACAGCATTCACATGGGGCCAAGGAAGGTGGTGGTACTCTCTGGATATGAAACGGTGAAAGATGCCCTGGTTAATCATGGCGATCAATTTGGAGAACGATCTCAAGTGCCTATATTTGAAAGAATTTTTGAAGGAAAAGGTAATGAACTCTAAATTTAAAATATATCCTTGTGGTTAAAATGATTAAATCAGGTGCACTGTATTCTCTCACATAATTCTTTTCACGATGTACTTTGTCCTTCATCAAATAGATGAAATAGAATTTCATAGGAGAAAATTTATGACTTACGGTTTTATTCTTATTATACATGGTAATTACTTCTGTTGAACAAATAATTTGTAGCCAGCTACTAGCTGGGAAGTACAACACCAAGAAGATACAAAGGCAAAGGGAGGGTTTGGGGATTAGCAGACATGCATTACTATATATAAACTAGATAACCAACAGGGACCTAATGTACAGCACAGGGAACTCTATTCAATTTCTTGTAATAATCTATAATGGGAAAGAATCTGAAAAAATATAGGTATGTATGTATGTGTATAACTGAATCGCTTTGCTATACACCTGCTACTAACATTGTAAATCAATTACACGTCAATAAAAAATAAAATTAAAAAAAAAGTAAAGGGAACAGAGGCCACCAGCTTAAAAAGGCCACAGTCTAACGGCTGGCAAAGACCCATTAAACAATATACTTTGCGAAATAAATATACTGAATCATATTTTCACCTGGATAAAGCTGTACCTTGCTTGTGTGACTCTTTACTAAATGCTTTAGTGAAATCCAGACACTCTCCAGTATTAGAATATTAAGACCCTGGAAAGATGTGGGCAACCTTGGCAACCCTCTCTTTCCTTAACTTTGTAGGAGTTTATCTCATGCTCCCACTCTTTTAAGAAATTTCTCTCATCTGTTCATTATTATTTCCTTTAGCTATGCACAAACTCGCATATCTGTTTAGTCAATAAATATTTACTGAACACCTACTATCAGCTACATGTGTCTCCGGAAATTAGTAGTAGTGTGGTGTTATATACCAACTGTGTTTGTATAGCACTAATGTAGAAGCTTGCTTACAACTCCTGGTTGTAACTTTTGACTTGGGTAGTCTTGTGTCTACTAGTCTGATTTTTCCTGGGAAAAGAGACTTTGTTTTCTACTGTTCATCAACTCCTTAATCACATCTAGCATGATGTAAGCATGTAGTAAATACTCAAAAATTGGTTACTGAATTTGTTGGAGATGCATAATTAAAAACAAAATCTCCTCCAAACCTAGAAATCCTTCTCTCCACCAAGAAGGAAAATGATTTTATTACTGAAGAGGCATTAAACCGGAATGTGATGTGCATCACATAATCTGCTAACTGCAAAAACAGAAAAAAACTCACCCTTTTTATATAACCAAGCAGCACAACCTATTACAAAAACGTTAACCAGTGCTCAAGTAAGAGGACTTGACAGCCCCATTTGTCTTGTCACTGTTAAAAAATAAGCTGAGGCATATGATAACTTTTGAGTTTATCTGAGCAAAAACCAATTTGAATCAGGCAGCATCCAAGTCAGCAAATAGAACGGTGCTTTGGGGAGCTGCGCAAAAAAAGACTTCTGTAAACAAGTTTATACTGTATAGCACAAGGAGATATACTCAAGATCTTGTAATAGCTCACGGTGAAAAAGAATATGAAAATGAATATATGTATCTTCATGTATGACTGAAAAATTGTGCTGCACACCAGAAATTGACACAACATTGTAAACTGACTATAGCTCAATTAAAAAAAAAAAGACTTCTATAAGTCAGAAGGGAAAGGGAACAAGGACGTTATACTGGGCAAAAAATAGGGTGGGTTGTTGCAAAGTTACTTTTCTTGAGGGGACAGCAGGGTTCTGTCAGGCAGATGACATAACTCCCAGTTTGGTGACTTGGGGCTTAGCATAAACAATTCCATTTGGGGCCTGTTTTCTTGTTTTTAATGTCACACACAGTTCATCCTAGATTCACCTGGGAATTGGGGTGACCATCTGTATTAATTGGCTTTATATAAAGTAAAAATAGATTACTCCCATCTTAATGACAGGAGGCAGTTTTGCAACTCAGAGCAAGGCACCCAGGGAAGTATGGTTCCTCCCGTTTCACAGAAACTGGGAGTCTCTTGCTTGATGTTTACATTCCAAAGAAGTGGCTCCCCGGTCCCTGAGAAAGATCTTCCTAGGTCATAAAACTCACACACACACACACACACACACACACACACACACACACAAACCCTATCTAGCTTTCAAAATGATGTATATATAATTGAAAGGGAGGAGAAAAGACTTTTTAGAAAGTAGTGTTCTAAAGTAAATGCTCGAAGTGGAAAGAAGTATTCAACAGGGAAAATTCAGCCTCCTTTTATAGTTTTTCTTTGTCCTCGCAAATTAGATTTTTAAAGCTCCGAGGAAGTAATTTAAAAACATTTTCTTCAATACAAGGAATTACCTTCTCTCACGGTGACACTTGGAAGACTGTGAGAAGATTCAGCATGACCACCTTGCGGAACTTCGGGCTGGGCACGCAGATCACAGAAGACACAATTATAGAGGAATGCCAGCGTCTCATTCAGTAATTTGAGTCTCACAGAGGTGCGTAGAACGAATGAAAACCACGTCTTATTTTTCACGAGAAAGACATCAATAAAAGATATACTTTCTAATATATATTTTGATGTAATTTCAGACTTGTAGGAAAATTCCAAGAACATACAAAAGGAATCCCCAGTATCCTTCTACTGTTCTCCAAGATTCCTGAAATGTCAGCGTTACAAATGTTTTCACTCTCTTTTTCCAAACTATTTGAGATACTTTGTTTTTCCAGCCCAGCCACATTATTGGCAATTTAATTTATTCACTTTTTTTAAGAAAGGAAAAGAAAAAATTAACAAAACAAAAAAAAAAAATCCTTTGCAGAGATGCCCTCCCTTTATTCTTTTTTTTGGTGACAAGTCTTTTCCTCCCTTTATTCTTCAATACTTTAATGTGTTTCTTTAAAATAAGCAAAAGTATTCTCTTACATAACCAAAGTCCTATTTTCAAAAATCAGAAAATCAACACTGATGTGAACATATTAACTACTCTGCAGAACTGATTCAGATTTCACCACTGTCTCACTAATGTCCTAAATAAATCCTGGATCACACATTGTATTCAGTTCTGCTGTCACTTTTGCCTCCTTTAATCAGTCTCTCAGTATCGGGTACGTTTTTGATCCCTTTAAATAACAGAGAGTTAATACCATGTTATTTCTATCAATATACGGGATGAAAAATCCAAAAACTCATTTTCATGTCAAGAGGATTCCCATTTTCTTAAAAATTGAGCTCATTTCCTTATTAAAAATGAGTCCATTTGCAAAGTTCAAAAACATAAAAAAAGAGAGAAAAAATCCCCCATAACCTCAACGTCTAGGGTAGTGTCCATTTAAAAGTCTGGTAAATTTGTGTGGCATTTTAGCAGATTTGCTTCCTGTGTTTCCATTTGAAATTCCTTTATCCTTAACTAACAACACACCTAGAGCATGGTTTATTATGTCCTGCCTAGCTTAAGAAAGTTCTGTGAGAGATAAATTATAACCCCCAAAATACAGACTGCTGAGTAATAAAGAAAAATTACATGAATGATGCATTTTGCTTGATGTGGTTGTTCATTGCTATATTGAAATTCTCGCCCCAGAATGTATTTACCTTTCACAATAGGAGAAAAAAAATGGGCTAAAAGTGCCACATTTCATCTATGTTCTAACTTTCCATTAAATTAATAGACTTTTTAAAAATGAGTCCATTTGATACAGAATTGAATATGAAGAGAGCTGGTCAAAGGGAGACCACCTTGAGATGAATGCAGGGGAGAAAGAGAAACCTTGGGGACCCCACATGCTAAATTAGCAGTCCCTGTACCTTTAGAAGGAGACACTCTTGGCAATTCGGAGAAAGTATATACAGACAACGACTATTCCTTCTCCAGGGTTAAGTGCCTAACAAACGTGCATTTCTCAGGGCTTCGTGTACACAGTGTCCTACATGCCCTTCGGTTTGTATATGAAGAAGAAAATACATTCTCTACAAGAATTCCCCTTGCAGCTCCACCCTGAAGGTACCAGCTGATGTTAAGAGTGGATCTTAGCAACCAGACTACCCTTCATTTAAAAAAAAAATACCTATCCACTGATACATGTTTAATAACCCAAATAGTTTTAAGTGATACTGATGGAAACAGGACCCAGCAGCAGAAGAGGCTAAAACAAGAAATCGCTCTGGATGAAATTCTTTAAAGTAGAGTCATTTTAATCATCTAGATGTCCTATTTCAAGCTTTTAAACTTGAACGCAGCCTAGTAGGTTGACGTATTTTCCCATGTATCATGTATTAGCACCTCCCTACACACATGCACGTGAACACACACTGAAATGTCCCTCATTCTGGCAACATTTTAATTTCTTAGTCTAATGCAGATTTCCTTTGACATATACTTGTAGTTTTCCTCGTGGCAATTTTTTAACCAAATTCTGAGTATTTCTCAATGCCCACTCTAGTCTCAGCTCTTCTTGGAAGGCATGGTTACCCGTCATCCCTTTCTTCTATGAAAACCTTTCCCTGACAGTCTGTCCCAATCAGTCTGGAACTGGTTTAATATTGCACATGTGAATTTGGATAGGTTTCTCCCACTGTCCAAAAGTAGAGCGTTCCTAGGAAGCCCTTCATAAACCAGAACCAGAGGCATAAAGTGAAGAAGCAGACACCTTGGGATTCATCTTGATAATGGATGCACAGTACAAACCGAGATAAAGCACAGCTCAGACACGGTTCAAAGCAAAGGCAGCTTGATGACGAGATGCTGTGTAGTTCCTGGAGAAGACGCTTGGTGGCGCCCCTCTCACTAATCCAGGTGCACGCAGCCTCAATTAGGGATTGCCGCATAAAACCACCACCACCACCAACAGAAAAACCCCACTGAACGCTATTTTCCTTTTCGCTTTTTTTTTTTTTTGTAAAAAACGAAAATCCTTTTCGATTTCTTTTAGTTTGCAAAAACAAGTGCCCAATGTAGGTCTTCTGTGAAAGTGAAGTTGGCATAAAGCAAGCTTTTGAAAAGCGGAGGGCGCCTGTATTCCCAATCTGATGAATGAATTCTCTTGCAGGAAAGCCCTTTGAAATCAAAACAGAAATGAATGCTGCTGTTGTTAACGTCATGGTGTTCTGTGTTGTTTGGAAAACGGTTTGACCACCAAGACGCCCAATTCATGAGATACGTAACCATGATTGGTGAAATTATCAAACTCCTTGGAACTCCTAGCATTGCAGTAACTGTATCTTTCCGACTCACTTTTACTTCCTCTAAGGCCCACCTGAGTGTTCAAGAGACCATGAAAAAGTAATTAATAGAGAATCGCCATTTCAAAAACGCACTCTGTGTGGAACATCCTGAGGGTTCCGATGTGAGAGGTCTGCTTGTCTAGACTCTTCATCACAGATCACTGCATCCAGCGAGTGTCTTATGATGCAGGACTTGTGAATCACAAGCAATAAAAGTCATTACGTGGCTTTAGCAAATTCTTAGGATCTTAGCCACCCATCTTTTACCTGTCCCCCTAGTTAGCATGGAATGCTGGTGAAACACGAGTGAACAAGCAGCACTCAGAAGAATCCACTTAGGAGACTGAATTTTAACGGAGGGGGACTGTCAGGTATCAAAAAAATATAAAGCCCAATAAAACCTTAATATTTATTCTGAGCCACGCCATTGCACTGTCATCCAATTTTTTATATTTGCAAATGAGGTTGCAAATATAAAAGTGCAAGCACTTTTCCCCCTACATCTTCTAGAATGTAGGGGGAAAAGTGCTTGTCAAATAGTTCCCATTTTCAGCAGTACCACTGACAACCAACCATGTTACTGCACTTTGGAATTTAGGCTCTGTTACCATATACATGGCAGGCTTATTCTAAATACAGATGCGGGGGGAACACTGGGTCAGACAACTATGATGACTCATTTTAGGCACGGTCTTCTATCTTTGCTATTTATTAAGTCATCTGGGAGGGGTCAGGAACCTCTTTGTGCATCTGAACAAATACATAAAGCTTATCTCTCAGAGAATGAATACACTGAGGAAAACACTGAAGTTGGCAAACAGAGAACTTTTTAAAGGTCAGGGAATATTAGACTAAGCGGGGCTGCTCTCATGGAGCAAGTCTCGGACCTGTGGACAGGAAGCCTGTTACAAATTCAAAAAATAATTATTATTCTGTTCCTGCAAGGAAACACTGGTGAATTCAGTATACCACACTGAACTAGAATAGTCTGACCTGGAATCACCTGGGATTTTGCAAGAAAAGTATTTAGATTTATAAATTCTGACCATAAAGTCAATACTGTTTTTATGTCTCATCTAACCTCTAAATACATATGTCTATATGACTGTAGACATAATATACAAAATACTCTGGGTACATAGAACTTATTGGAAGTCATGACAATATTCACTGTAAGTTACATAATTCTGATAAATGAAATCTTGTCCAGTCCAGTCTGCCACCATTAGCTAAGGTAAAACTGAAGTCCAAATGAGATGCTATTTCTTCAAGGCTTTCAGAAATAATGGTGTCATTCCCATTCTCCCAAGCATTATACACGTGTATTTAATTAACTTTGGATTTTTTTTGTTTGTTTGTTTGTTTTTACTCTTCTAGCTTTTCAATATGTTTCCCGTTTTGGGGTTTCTCCTCAGAAGTCGTAAGACAGTACTTAGGAATAGAGACGAATTATCTTCCTTTTTAAGGACTTTCATAAATCACCACCATAAATTTGACAAAAATGATCCAAGATGTTTCATTGATGCCTTTCAGGTCAGACAGCAGGAGGTAATGATGCTTAGCCTAGGGGGGCCCTTATTTGATTTAATCAATAGCATCTGGGGGGGTGGGGGGAAATACTTCTGTCCAAGAAAAAAGGATAACTGGACTGAAGTTAATGATAGATTTGTACACTACAAAGAACGCTATTTATTATATTTTGCATTCTCAAATTTTTTTTAACCTCTTTTCATGTCACTCTCTGAACAAAACCCCAAGACTTACAGAAGATCTCAAGATGTGTTACGGCTCTGAGGATTAATATTCTTTTCTTTGCAATCTTGAAAAACGTGTTTCAACTGACATACTTGAGACCATTTAATTTTTTTCTTAAATAAATAATGCTGGGAATATTCTAATCGCTCAATTAAAAACTAATTCCCAGTCTTCCTGAATGGCAAATGGGCTTTCCCAGTGTCAGAATTATTTATCATTATTAGCTTCTAGGATGTGCTTTATCCTAACATTCTGCACAACATTCTCATATTGAGGGAAGAACGCAGCACTTTGTTTTTTTCAGTTCACGTGAGGTTATTTGTGATGCTTGTCCAGGATAAAATTCTTTCATCGCTAATGATTCCTTTTCTCCTTCTAGGAGAAAGATAAATCTACTGACAATTTCAGTGATGACAACATGGTGGTACTTGTCAGTAACCTGTTTGCGGCAGGTGTAGAGACCACAGCCACCACGCTGCCCTGGGGGATTCTGCTCATGATGCGATATCCAGAGATCTAGGGTACGTCTCCTGAGATTCAGAGCATCACCTGAAGGAGAGGAATCAGGAACCCCTGGGACTGGACAATATTGAATTCTAGAGCTACTCTGGATACCTTTCGTTTGTACCCTTGAGAATCGTTTGTACCTTTAGTATCCTGATGCTGTAAGAAAGTAGACTTGCCCTCTGAGCATCCTGAGATGGTCTGAAGGCATCACTCCATCCAGGTCCCCAGAGGCTGGGGGATAGAAGCAGTGCAGGGAAAAGATGATTCAGAATTCAGAGAGGACTTGGGTTTGACGTTCACGTTTAAAGACACAGCCCCCTCCCACCGCAGACCCTAACCGCTCTCCATCCTATGCAGAAAAGGTCCGCGATGAGATTGCCCAAGTCGTGGGGTCCACGCAGCCTCGAATGGCACACCGTGCTCAAATGCCATACACGGACGCTGTCATTCACGAAGTGCAGAGATTTGCCAACGTCCTGCCCACAGGCTTGCCACGGGCAACAACCACGAATGTTCTATTTAGAAATTACTATATTCCAAAGGTAAGGGCTGGAGGCGAGGGGCAGGGGAGAGGGAAAGAACGTCAAAACGCTGCTGCTCAAAATCATAGGACCGCTGAGATGAACTGTCAGACCGTCTCCTTCCTCCTCCCTCCCCGGCCCCTCCCTCCTCCCATCCCTCTTTCCCCCCTCCCTGTCTCCCTCTCTACGACAACCACAGGTGACTGAGCGTCTTCATAGGTAACGGTGGCCTTTGCTCAGTGAAAAGACTTTAGAAGGTATTACTCTTCTTCATGTTATAGCTGAGGAAGCTGGGGTTCCGAGAGTGCAGGCAAGGCTAGTGTGTAAGGGAGCAGATTCTGGGTGAGGCGTGCCACCCTTTAGGGCCCCGTGTCCAGCGGCACCTCCGGGCTTCACTTCCGCCTGCACACGGCGAGGCCCTCCGCTTCCCAGGACTGTGACACCCAGATGCAGCCTTGTGCTTTGACCGGTCAACTGAGGAGATACAGATCTTTGCTAAAACTCAGCTGAAGGGAGGAAGTGGCATAAGGTAACGGTAGGCCCACGGCCCCGAGCCTTTTTCTTGACAGTCTGTTCATGGCTTCTGGGCCCACCTCTGCAGGAGGCCACCGGCCACTGGTTACATGGGCCCCGTCCCCTGTTCATCCCCAGTGACTGGGGGGCTACATCCTTCTTTGGAGCTTCTCTTCCCAGCATGTATTAAGCACACTGATGAACGGAATTAATCAGGTTAGCAGCTGCCGTGGGAAACCAAACCCCACGCTGTTATCACGTAGCAAGTACGTGCCTAGAGTTTGTCCCCAGTTCTGAATCCAAGCCTTGTGTTTTTCACTAGGTACAGAGTGAATATTCCACACTCAGCCCCAAGCCTGGGCCACTCGGCTCCAGCTCCCTCCTCCGCATTCCTTCTAGAACACACCACTTCCAGCCAAGGTCACCGTACCTCTTTGCAGCCACCTCTTTAGGAAGCAGTTTCATCTCTGTCACTCGGCACACTTTTACCCCAGGGCACCGAGGTCATCCCTTTGCTGAGCTCTGTACTTCGGGATCAGACCCAGTGGGGGACACCAGACACCTTCAACCCCGGGCACCTCCTGGATTCTGCTGGGAAGTTTATGAAGAAGAAAGCTTTCATGCCCTTTTCAGCAGGTAAGGCATCTTACTGGAGAAAGGTGACTTGAAAAATCTGGAGAGATCTGGACGTGCCTGAGGCCAGGGCTAAGGTTCTGGATTTTCCCACGTGGCCCTAACCTTCAGAGAGAGGGAAGTAGTCCTTCCCCCGGATTTCATCAGGATGCAGGATGCAGGACAACAGGCGTTGGAAGGACGTGTCCTTAGGGAGTCCTGGACGACTCTCTGTGGCCGAGGCTAGGTACAGGGCCTCAGGAGCCCCGAGAGACAGCTAAGCAGGACAACAACGGGCAAACCCACGTCACTCCAACCGTTAAAGCTTTGCTTTACGACGTGTAAATACCAGCGTTGCTCTGAGGATTTCTTGAGGAGGGCGAGGCAGGGAAGTGAAAAGAGCTTCACATTAAAATTTGAAATCCACAGAACTAAATGAATGGATTCTATAGTTGCCTGGATTTCTAAGAATCTGAAATGAGTTCTCCATTTCTAGGAGTCTTAGCAAAACTACACCATGAGTTGTTTTGCCATCTTTCTGCTTCTACAAACAAAGGTTTGGTCGTCACTCCAGAGACCCACTCAGTGATGGGTATACAGCAGCCACCCCAAAACAGACCTCCTTCCCCTGCTGACAACTTACGGATACAGAGCTCGACCCCTTCCCCTAATTCTTGCCCACATACACAAGAGTGCAGGGGGCGGAGTAATGAAAACATACTCACCACTCCTTAAAATGAAAAACATCACATCACATCTGGAACAAGAGTTAAAAGCAATGAAAAATAATACACCTGTATTGGCAGTGTTTTGAACTCCATTTCTCCCAGCATTTCCTTGCATTATATTTTGGGGGGGGGGGAAGCCATGGAAACATAAACAGTGCTCTCTCGAGGGCACTTCAGCCACGTCTAACTCCAAACCCACATTTTACAAGTGAAAAGATACGTACAGTTTTTTCCAGATTCCTTTACCGGCTCTTGGACTGACTGCTGCTAATATTTAGAGAAAAGAAATCACGTTCTCCACGACAGCCCTTCGCCCCCTGTGAACAATCATTATTTCTACTTTCTCTCTTGAGCTCTGACTGACACCACACCCAGGGCCTCCACGATGTCTCACACACCTGGGCCTGGGGACATCTTTGGACCATGAGGCGGCAGCAACAGTCCCGATTCTGCCACAGTGACCCATCCTCAAAGGATTTTGCCCAGCTTAGCTCAAGAATTCTAACCATCTCTAGTTATACTGGTTTCTTTTTTTCCAGTTGTAGGAAATCTAGGAGTAGTCATCCTGTTTTTATCATAAACAAGTGGAAAAACTTCTAAAATGCAATCATCTCAAAACTGTCACAATAAGAAAACATAATATAAAACCAATTCTGTGCCTCCACTGTGAGAGCGAAATTCTCCGAACACTCTAGTTGTCCTGAAGGCACTGCCTTCCCCAGTTATCCTGATCACTTATTACTGCATTAAGATAAAGATTTTGCTCCTTAAAGGGTTTACCTAATCCAAATATGCTCTTTCATTGGCCCCCGAGATCACGTCTAACTAATTTTGCATATAGCATTTCTTTTTAAAATAAATTAAGATCGTGTACTGCATTTTCACCTACTTATCCTTAAGGGTAAACTAAAATGATACACACTATGACTCTTCCCATGAAACTGAGTAAGCCCAAACACAGGGACGCTAACTCACACCTGAAGCTGTTTTGTTTATCATCAGTTAGAGGACACCAGTGACACACATTTCTTCCTGGGCGGACGGGGAGATCTGTCCCCAAAAGCCAGCGTTGGTGTCCCTTCCACGGGCTTCCTCAACACCCTAGCATGGCTTGTGATACTGTGTTATAATCACCCGTTTCCTCTTCAGACCCACCTACGAGGCAGAAGCCGCTCAAGGGCAACAGACTCAGAGCCAAGTTCAATCTGTCTTGACATTCAACACCCATTTGTGGATCGAATGGTTAGCTTTGACTTAATGAGCATTTCTAGGCAGAGGCAGATAATATCCTTGGTCTTTCCCTCCCTAAAAATCTCACCTGGTTACAAGGCATAGTGAGGGTGGCATCAATCCGTTCCTTGGAACCAACCAAACCAAACCAAAGGGCCAACCTGGGATATTTCAAGGTGTTATAAAATAGCTACATTTGAATATTTTGCTGAACTTTAAAGTCTTCTGTGACTCAGTACACTTGTGAGTTACCTTCCAAATTAAATATAGGAACAGAGAAAGAGACCCCCTCACCGGACTGTCTATGACATTTCACTGGAGGTACAGCAGGGTGGCAGATCATTTAGAGACTCCAGGAGCAGGAACGAAAGGGCCGGGTTAGGTCTTCTGAACCCTTTAATAATGCTTCATTTCAACCAATATACTACCTTTGCCCTATAATGCAACCACAGAACTCATTAAATTTAAGCCAGGAAAAAAGAAAGTCCCATATGTCTTAAGAAAGATATGTAATAACCATTAAGGCCCCAGTTGTTGGTAATAAAAACCAACCTAGAAGACTTCCTCAATTTTAACTCACTCCACTTTTCAGACACCTTGACATTTCCCCAGTTAATTCATGTTTCAGAAATACTAACCAAACACTCTTTTTTAAGTTTATTTTTATTTTTTCATGGAGGTGCTGGGGATTGAACCCAGGACCTTGGGCTTGCTAAGCACGTGCTCTACCACTGAGCTAAACCCACCGCCCCACCAAGCACTCTTCTTAAAGTGCTTCAGTATGAACTTGTTTCCGGTCATACCTCTGGCCTCGGGTCTGAGACTCCCGACTTCATGCTCAGTGCTCCAGTCAGCCCTGTTTCTTTCTGCCCTAAATGCATCCCACCCCTGACTCACCCTCCCCCATCTCTGCCAGGCTCACCTCCCATCCTTAGACGGAAAGCCCTCGCACAAAGGGGAACCCTCCCTGATGGGCCACCTTTCCTCTGCGTTCTCACCACACACTTGGCTTCACCTGCCAGAACATTTTTCACATTAGAATGTTAATGCTAACGTTTGCTTACTTGCTTGTGTCCTTCATGGGAGCTCGTAAGGCAGAGTCTTCTGATGCATTTCATTTTGCATTTCCAGTCCTTCAGCTGGGGGGACAGAGATCAGGTGGCTCACAAGAGGTTAACTGACTCACACTTGCTGAAGGAGAAGAAATGGCACGTGGATGGCTTTTTTCTCTATCTAGACAGTTTTCAGTTTTCGTCTAATAACCTTCTACCACTTCCCACCTCCCCAGGTCGTCGGGTATGTGCTGGGGTGTGACTGGCCAAGATGGAGCTCTTCCTTTTCTTCACGAGCCTCCTGCAGAAGTTCACCTTCCAGCTGCCCCCTGGGATCTCCCATCTGGCCTTGGACATAACCCCGAACTTCAGCTTCCTCAATCGACCGATGCCTCACAAGATATGTGCTCTGCCCCGGGCCTAGGCTCTGCACATGAGCTGTGGCCCCACTTCTCTGGGTTATCTTGTGATCCTCAGCACCGACTGTCCTGTTCTATGTCTTGCCAGCCATGGTCTTGGGCCAAGCCCTTTGGCCGTGTATCAGTGGTCAGCCACATCATCCCAGAGGGCTCTCTTGTCAAGTCAGAGTGAGTTCCTGTGCTAATCCCTGCAGTAAAGACCTCCATTCTGCCACTCTCCACGGCAGGACAGGTGAACAGAACACTTGACAAACAGAACCTTTACTTAGTGCCCTAGAGTTCTGTCCTTCAGTCTGAAACTGTCCTGTCCTTTTCCTCCAAGGCATATGAGACATCTAACAGTCACCAATCAATAGTTCCAGTTGTTGGAGCAGGGGGATGCTGTATAATGCATTGTCCTAGGATGCCCATCAAAATTGCAGCGAAGAAAATTCAGCTCTTCCATGAGGGTCCCACTCAACATAAGGCACTGGTTTCATTCATTGGTACAACCAAGATCGGGCTTGTGATGGTGACACTGGCTCATGAGTACAGACCACCTGTTGAGCTCAGAAAGGGATGCTCCCGCTTCTGACATAGCTGGAACTTGAAGAGCCTCCTCCCTTCTCTGTGTTCAGTGCTCTGAAGTCCCAGGAAAGGCATATGCAGGGGACCCTGTCAGCAGAATAAAGAAATCATCGTCAGTTCCCGAGACACAAAGCATCTTTAAGCCTTTATGAAGTCAAATGTGTGTTCCCATCACCAACATAAATGCTTCTCCCCTGCTCTTATCTGACTCCTGTCAAAGCAAAGATTGCACTGGACAAGGTTAAACAGTCAAGGAAGACTTTATTTAAGGCTACTGCAGTGGGGAGGGTATAGCTCAATTAATAGAGCGCCTGCTTAGCATGCATTAGGTCCTGGGTTCAATCCCCCGTACCTCCATTTAAAAAAAAAAGGAAATAAATCTAATTACCTCTGCCTCAACAATAACAATAATCAATAAACAACAACAACAACAAATCAAAAGAAACAAACAAACAAAAGACTACTGCAATAGCATAGGGAGGCCAGAACTTAGTCTGAACGCAACTCCGCTGAAACAAAGTGGGGAAGGGATTTTAAGCGTTGACATGGGCTAGAGGGAAAAGTGCTGGAGGACACTAGTGGGGAGGGTGACCAAGGGGACACCGTGTCCGGCACACTGAGTTACTCCTTAGTTTGCAGATGTTCTTCTCTGACTCTGTCACCTGTGTTTGCTCACTAGAGCCCACTGAAGTTAGACTCCTACCCTCCCACAGGGCCTTGGAGAGGGGGGCACCAACTTCCTTAGTGATTGCATTTCTATGAGGTGGCTCCTGGGTCCTTGAGAAAGACATCTCTGGGTTGTAAAAGTGGCAGATGGGAAACACACAGGTCCCCTGACTTCCCAGTGGAATGAAATGAAACCATAAGTGATAAAGAATTGGGGCCTGCTTATTTTGTTTAAACACTTTCAAGAGACAGCTGCATTTTCTGCATTGCCCTTAGTACATAATTGGTGTTCAATAATGTTACCAGTGAATTCTAAACCCAAAGTCAAAATCAATTAGTGGACCGCTTTTTCTTACAAAGGATTAATAGAAACAGCTTTGAGTAGAGATCAGGAAATCTGAGCTTTAATTCCAACCCTTCCAGGCTCCCATTTTTATGACTTTATGACTACTACTGGCAGTGGCGTACTTAGTGAATAAGATACTGGAAGCAAATAATTTTTAACGTCAATATGAGAAAATAATACTTAATAATCATAGAGCAAAATAGATAATAACTTTGATCCTTTGGTGAGTCTGATTTAATAATAATTTATATGAATAAACTGTCAAGTAACTAATAAACTTGAATAGAAGTGAAATGTCTGCAAAAGAAACAGAAATAGTAATGTTTTGATTTCTTGGTTCATTCTTTAGTTTTAAAATAATGAATAAATAATAAACTTCATGTTAATTATCCAAATCCAATAAAACTGTTCATGTGTGAATAAATTTGCACTTATCAAACAAAAAATACTACATTTTGCTGTTTCACTATTTTAAATTTTATACGTTAAGTCACACGCAATATCAGAATTGAAGTTCTCTTTCTTAATGACTATGACTGCTGTATTATGATTTATACTGAATCTACTCTTGAAATGCAGGAATATATATGGGTCAGAGACAGAAAGTGCACTCCAAGTGAGTAAGAAAGATTCTGAACCCTTCGGAATGAATGCATGTAGCTGATTCTGTGTGTGTGTGTG